AACTTATTTTAACCAGGTCTGGTGTTTTCATGAGCGTAGCTATAGGCCTCAAGATCAAATATTATGTTCATGGATGAGGAATTCGAGGTTCACAGTGAAGGAAAACCAAATGGAGGCAGGCTAATGCATTTCTCCTCTATTTTTTTCCGAGTCATTGAACAAACCATAATCTTGCCTTGTTTGTTTGTTTGTGTTGCTTATATCTGTACATTTTAGACTATGATGCTGAATTCTATATAGTTGAATTATGTTGGTCTTTGGTTCATCTTACCATTGCTAACTCTGAGAGACGAGACAGTCCAAGTAACTTCAAAACAGTGCTGATTTATTCAAAGGATCACAGGTAAAATTAACATTACACGCTCAGGTATCTTGCACCTCCAAACTGCTCGCAGGTAGATGTAAGATGAAAGACCCCGAACCACAACAGGCCTATACATTATATCCCCTCAGTTGGGCTAGCCCCATACTACACAGAAACGTCAACCGAGACATCTCTGTTACCAGCTTTGCAGCTGGTCATAGCAGTAGTCAAAACATGAAGCAAATCAATGTGTGAATGTGTGTGTCTGTTGATTAAGTGGTGTGTAACTAAAAACATTCTCACAGACTTCTAGTAACATGTCGTGACATTAAACATAAGAACATATTATGGCTAAGGCTACAGTTATACACGTCATCATAATAATATTAAACACCCTGTCTGCTGACAGTCATCAACTTTTCTCTCTAGTTATCCTTGACCAGATGCACCCTGTAGAAACTCATAAGCATGACTAAGCATTTAACAGTCTAACTAGACATCCTATCTCCACTAAACATTTCTAATACATAAAGTATCTATCCAACATCTATCTGACTAAAAATACCTAACAATTAAATCAATTTATAAAGCATAAAAGCATTTTTTATTGAAAGGAAAAGGTGTTTCCTGTTTCTAAAACTGGGTCAGCTTGGCTGACTAAGACTGTGTAGTACAAACAACGTCTAGGTTCAAACTGGGCAAAATTTGGTTAAAATCTGATGTCTAGGTTGTACATATCCACTGTTTTTTAATTTGATTGTGAAGCACATGGTTTAACCTGCCTGTCATTTTATAAGCTGCACTTTAAACAAATCAAAGCTTACTGGGAATAATCTGAGCTACAACACTAGAAATCTAGTTGAAATGTTGAAATACTGGACTATTGTACAGGCACTATACACAACCAGTAGGGAGAGAGTTCCCAGCAGGTTCAACCTGGACCTGTTCTTAGTTGTTTTCTAATAAGCTCTTAGCCCATCTTATATCATCTTCTATCCTGTGCTCACACTGAGCACAGTGAGGTGTACTCACAATACTTTGAGTACACCTACACAGTAAAAAGTCAGCTCTAAGCAAAACAAAATGAGTCAGTATCAACTAGATCAGTTCCCAGTAAATGTCACACTCTAAACTTGATCAGAACACTCTTGTGTCTTTGTTGTTTCCATATGAATCGGATTTGTAGACTTTTCCCTCAGCAGAATATTTGACTTGGCATATACGGTAAATAACAGGAAACGTGTTAAAACTGGTACTGTTCCAGCATATTGTTGCAATGCAATGCAGCAATTAATCATATTAGTTTGTGTTTTACAAGTCAAAATGTCTGTTAGATAGATATTCACTGATTAACTGTATGCAATTAACATATTTAGCAGTAAATTTAAAGGGAATCTCCACTGATCGCACACATCAAAATCTGCTTACAGATGTTGGGGATAATATCTAGTTCTGGCCGACCTCGTTTGATGCTGTCTAGGTGCAAAAACACATATTAAGTAACTTTGGCTTTTATTTGACAAATATACTGTATAGACCCTGCAGTTACCAAAAACTGAAATAGTCAGATACGGTGCTAAATCAGTTTCTTCAGAATGTAAATTGTTTCTTGCCAGTCACACCTTGCTGCACGCATGTAAGGTACTGCATACACAAGCAGCAATAAATTTAGAAATGAAATAAAACTACTGCTTGTGACCATTTCCACCAGAGTTTGCTCTCTACCACTATTTATTTGCAAGTGTGAGAAGAGAGTGATGCTGCAGTATGCAAAACATAAAAAATATAGTACAAATGAAATTTGTATTTGTATCACTTTGACCTTTTGGTTTTAATGATACATGCTTGTTTTAAAAACTATAAAGTGTTCTGTTGTGTTTTCAAGAAAGGAACTGTAATGGTTCCTCATGAAAACACTCACTAGTGTAAAACCAGTTTGTCTCTTTGAGCTAAAAGGAGAAGCTTCCTGCGTCTGTGCTTTTCTAACCATTCCAAAAGGAGGAACCTCTTTGCAGTGATTTGAGATACTGGAAATGTAGACTCAGCTTTTATAGGTTGCATGTTCTTTTATAGACAGAATCAGTGAAAAGTTATTGTCTTAAAAAAGTTATTGTCTTCTCAGGTTCAGTTTACTACAGAAACAGCTGCATGCATTGATCTGCACAATGTGAAGAATGTAGCTCTGTTTGTTGTGTTGTTTTCCTATAATCCTCTCTTTGTCTTCTTCAGCTTTCATTTACATTGTGTTTTTGTTTTGTTTTGTCTTGTTTGTTCAGTGCACATAAAAATCATCTTAGATTATCATAATTGTTTTCACACAGGAAAAAATAGAATGACTTGTTACTTTTTTTGGACTTCATAGAGGACAATTAAATTGTCTCTTCCTGTGAAGAGATTTATTCATTCATTAAACTGGTTAGGCGACTTTTGAATGACAGTCAAATTAGACAATGCTTCTATTTTGGGAACCATGTGACCCAGACAGAAAAAATGTTCACACATGTATGACAGAAAATAAATGTACCCTGTAAGTCAAGTGATGCCTGATTCACCTCTGCAGGAGCTCAATTAAAGTGAGAAGCAGTGGGTGTTGCCTGTAGGTGTGTTCCATTTTTCTAATACCAGCTTAACATATTTGTATACTGTACAAAGGTGCAGGGGAAATAGTAAATGTGGGACAGCAGACAGTGTGGCATTGACATTTTTATTTACTATAGAAGGCAGAAATGTTCTTCATTAGGTATATTTTGTCCTTGAAAATGCTCGATGTACATAAACCATTCAAATTTAAAAATATTATAGCATCCCAGGAGCAGAGCCAGAAGTTCCCCAGCATGCAAAAGGGCAACCGCCTGATGGACATCACTCTTTGTTTATACCCGTCTCTAGAGTGTTTCCAGCATTGCTCTATCTGAGGTTTGCTGTGTTTATATGTTTTTGCATCTAGGTTTGGTGACACACTGATGAACTTCAGCTCACGGATTTATGAGAGCGAGCGCTCTACACTTCTACCTCTACAGGTTCATTTCCTCAGAATGTACCAGTTGTGTTGCACATTCATGGAACATTCCTTTTATATTCTGTTAACGTACTAATGAGAATACATGTTAAAATACACTGGGCATAAATTATATCCACTTTATACCCAAGAATGAAACAGATCAATAGAAAGTGACAGCACAGGGCAACACGTATTTTGACTTTCTCTTGTTTTCCTGTTTGTTTGCTTTTGTTGCACTGAAATTTTATTCCTATGGACGAACTAGCAATATGTTCAGATCATTCCTTTTGTTTTGTGTTTTATTTTTCTAAGTGGCATGCACTGGGGAGCGAGTGAACCTTTCATCCTTGCCACAAACTCAACACAATAAATTAGAAAGGAAATTAAAAAATAGTATTTACCAATTCAAAGTGAAGAAACTTTCATAGTGAAAAAAAGCACCAATATACACTTTTTCAGATGGTGGGGACTTTTTCTTTCCAATTCCCATGTTTATCGATCATGCAAAAATCCATAGAAAACTTCTTAGCAATTATGTACACCATGCAGACTATACAAGGATTTCATCTGGCACTAAAATCTGCACCACCTGATCTTGTAAACCTGCTTGTTTGGCAATATGGGAAAATATTACTACACCAGTAAAGCAGTTTGATTTGAGAAAGAGAGGGGGCATAAAGAAGGGGGTGAGAGCGCTGTCTGGGGTCATATGGGGGCTTCTACCTGTCTCTTCATAAGCGCCATATTTTTCATTATCCGTCCCTCCTCTCCATCTCTCTGCTTTATTGTTTACCTCCCTCTGTTTGCATAGCTGGACCAGCGGAGCTCGCGCTTGTGGCCGCATGTGCACGCCCCCGCACTCACCTGCCTCGCGCTGGAACATCACACTCGCTCGTGCGTTCAGCTGGACGCGTACATTTCTGTTTCTGACAAGAAAAAGAGAGGATTGTTGATTTTTAAGAGGCTAACCGGCCTTTTCAGCGCTTCTTGTCACGGTTAAAGTGCTTGTGTGTGCTCGCTGACTTACAATGAAACGTTACGGAGGAGGTAGAGCGATAAAGACGCGGTTGTGAAATGTTAAAAAGGAGAGAGCGACGACTGACAAACCTTAACGTTCATAAACACAGGTAAGTTAGGAATAAACGTCTTTAGCTAACTTTAAAGTACTTTTCATGCTTCAGCTGATGTTCAATAAGTAGCCTGTCAGACCATTTTGACATCTTAAGAGAACATTAACTGTTTGAATGTGGCGTTATCCTAACAGGACAGAAAGCACTTTAATGAACCGAAGGTTTATGGCTTTTGTTATTTTGTGAGTCCATATTTTAATGCTTAGTACCTAGTTTAACTAGTTTAGTTTAACGTTTCGTAGCGTTACGCCGGCTGCCATCATCCGTACAGATAACGTGGATCTTAATGATGTTAACTAGCTTTGTTAGCATATTTAGGCTGATAACATCTTTTGCCATAAATTCAACTTAAGCAGTTTCGCACAGAGGATGTAGCTGTAACTGGAGCACATGTAAAGTTGTTTAATAACAGAAAACACTGAAGAAACTGGATTAACACATTTGGAACAAGTAGTCGATTAATCACTTATTTGTCAAAAGACCATAACTTTTTCAAACATAGCTGAGAATTTGCTGCTTTAGTTGGTTTTGTATGACTTAATCGAAAGCAACAATAAATTTTAAGGATTTGACTTTGGGAAATGAAAGTTGACAGTAGACAGGAGTTAATAGTCAGTATCTGGAATTTTCTGTATTCCTATGGTTGTCATCAAGATTTAAATGAGAAATTGTGCTTTTTAATAATGTTTATAATTTATTGGCATAAATGACGTGATAGGTTTGTCACTAATACTTAAATCACTGAAGAAACGGGGCTGTTTGTTTAATGTTCAATAAAAATACAATGCTCTTGGTTTTATTTAAGCCTAAAAAGGAGGTGGTTGTTTTGGAAAACCCCTCTTTTTTTTTTAAAGTGCTTCATAGACAGCAAGAACAGAGTAGTGAAACCAGCAGACAGGGGAAAGGGACACCAGTCCTTCACACAAGTAAGAACAATAAGTGTACTGTCATTACCACACAGTGTTTTGGTTTAAAAGACAGTATGTCCTTTGTAAAATGGTATAAAAGAAGCCAGATGATTTTTTTTTTTAATGCAAAAAGGCACAGCATGCTACACTGAGCAGGTTGACTAAGGTTAACAGATGAATTAAATGAATCGCTCCTGTCTTGTAGTCCCAGTGTGACTTTGCCATTTAATCGGATATGCACCTGTATCAGAGGAGACTGATTAAAATTATATTTTTATAATTAAAGGTGGCATTGGGGCAGATTGGGTATGAGGAGTGTTGTCCACATTGTTATAATATAGTCCTTACAATATAAGAGAGGTATGTTTATAACAGATGAGAGGAAATATGAACCTAAAGAAGAACGCAACAGAGACACTGAGCAAATGTATTATTGTAGGCGGTGACTGGAAAAAATGTTTTTAATGTGCAATGGGTGCGTCGCTGCCATATCATTCCAGTACACACCTGTACAGTGTTCATTTGTTATACATGAGTGTGTGTTACTAGGGAAGAGGTTGCAGCTAGACTAACAAGTTTTTTGCATAATAGGGAAATGACTAGAAGAACTTTGGCATTGAAACCATGTGTCCGTACGACTTCCTTGCTGTCATTACTGTTCTTCATGAGTTTGGGGACACAAGCACAGTTGCTTAACTGAATGTTAAGAAGTGAAAATGTATGTTTAGCTTTGTTTCTTTCTTTTTTATGCTGAATATGCTGTATCTTTTTTATTTGTTAATCTCTTGAATCTTCTTTTTTTTTTGCAGGGAGATGCTTCTTTCATCAAACATGAGTGTTTTTTTAATGGAGATTATGCTGTGGTTTAAGATTCCTTATCAATGATCTCTGGGACCTTAATGGATCTATTTAACAGAGAGGAGCTCTGGGATTACTCAAAACAGAAGCTGGACTCTGGCCTGGAAATAGCTTTTTTTTTAGTAAGTTTCATCTGACACGCAGACTGCTGCACAGACATAAACAGCACACTAATCTAGTTTGTATTTATCATGTAGAAAAGCGGACAGAGAGACAGCCAGGAAAAGCAGAACACGTTTTTATATGGTGAGAACCCTCACACTCACACAGGTCACGATGCAAGCCAAGTCACAAGGTGTTCAGGATAAAGGGAGGTTTGGAGAAAAATCATCACAGGCATCTTTAGTGCTGGACACCAGAGCCATCTCCAGTGATGCAGAGGGCAAAATCCTGGAGCTTGTTGATTTCAGTCAAACAACTGATGGTGTAAAACAGTCTGCACAAAGCAGCGACATTAACATTTTGAAAGGAAATGACATCACAACAAGCCGCAATGACCTCACATTAAATGGAAAGCCTACTTTTGGGAACCAGTCAGGACTCAGTGAATCCCCAGTTTCTGTTGAGGTGGGTGTGGCAAAATTAGCACAGGGTTTCAAACCTCTCATGGTCAATTCTCTGTTGAAGGGAACAAGTATGACCCAAGCTTCACATGATGATGCCCCGGTCACCTCAGCTGACAGCAGTACTTCATTGCAAACAGAGTTATCTGAGTTCGATACAAGTGCCTTTGAAAAGACGAGCCATATCTCTCCTGTCAATTTCTCTGAACCCAGTTTAGACACTTCTCAGTCTAACAAAATCACCAAAAATAGCACACAGGAACACAGTCATGATTCCCAAATTAACTTGAGCAGTAAACCAAAGGCAGAAAACTCACGCAACGAGAGTTCGCCCATATTCCCTGATGTTTCATTCAAAGTCACCCAAACAAGGGACAGCATCGACATCAGGTGGGACGAGGAGGACAGAGGTGATGACGTACAAAGCACTCACTCCAGGCGGACGGTGAAAGAGGGTGTGTGCTGCTGCTATCAGCGATTCCACAGGGCTTTTCTGCAGTGCGTGGAGGAAACTCCAGCCATGCTGTCCGGACTGGTGCTGTCTTTGGTGTTCTGTGTGGTCATCATTATCGTCATTCCCTCCACAGGAAGGGTGAGCTGCAGAGAGTGTGTGTGTGTGTGTGTGTGTGTGTGTGTGTGTGTGTGTGAGGTCGTATGCCGTGTATGCAAATGTAAAGTTTGAACACAATTATACAACCTGACACACTTTTTGTTGACAAATATATACAAATTTTAATCATCAATTATTACTTATATATCAAGCAAAAGTCCAAAAACATTCAGAACATGTTGGAGTTAAAACTAATAGATGTTAAACAGCAGTTACTTTTACTGAAATTACTGCAAAGCAGATAAGAGCGAAGACATTCGAGGAAATTGTCTGTATGGTCACTGAACCAAATGAGGCAGAACAAGGGGGTATTTTCTGTTCTTGTTTGGCCACTGAGAGACATGAACAAGGAAATTCAATACAGCCAATGGCAATTGGTGTGGTCTATGTACCCACAACATGTAGTTACATTTCTGGGGGAGTGCACGTCAGGCTACGATGGGTATGAGGCTATGCAGTTGTATATCTATGCCACTAGTCTGTCAGCCAACCACACAGAGCTTGATCCTTTATTTGTAGAGTTATTAGAGGCCAGTACTGATCATGTAGTAGTCTAGTACATGGGAAGTGAAACCCTGCTTCCTGACAAAAGAGTAAAGTATGAATATAAAGTAGAAAGTGTTTTTTACAAGTGCTGAGACACCTGAGATGCTGCAGTCATTAATGCACTGATCTGCTATTCTGGCTTATCTCTGCACAGAACCTTGATATTCATGCAGGTGCTCTGTCCGTGGTGTCTGTGGTTCTCTGTCTGAGCACTGTGCTGATCGTTTGCCTGCCCTGGCTGGCCACAGTGAGGCGCTGCGGAGGAGCCCTGGCCCTCTTTGTCTGGGGGACACTGTATGTCACTGCTATAGTTTTCATCTTCACTGGGGGACCTGTCACCACATGGGAACAGGTGAAAAGGAAGAAGTGTGTTTGTTTATTTTGAAGTTTTTCATTCTTTAATGCATTCATTAACCTTTTTACTCTCCATCTTTCTTCCTCTTCACTCTATCTTACTGTCTCAGGTAGCATTTTTCCTCTTCCTCTCTCTAAGTGTCTACACAGTGCTGCCTCTCTCTCTGGCTTGGGCCATGATAGTTGGAATTGGGACCAGCCTTTCACACATTATCATCATCAGCATCTATGTCCCTGTCACAAGCCCACAGACACCGGACTTGGCGGTGCAGGTAATGATTTGCTATGTTGTCATACATTGAAAACCATTTCTAATTGCCACAATGAACATAATGGTAACTTGTTGTTTAGTTTTACCTGCTTCCTTTTTATTAACTTCTTTGTAAGTAATAATCACAGTTGAGTTTGGAGTGCAAAGTTTATTAATGGTGAAAAACAAATAGCTGCATATAATAAATCTTCAAATGGCAATGTTGGCAAAGATTTGCAAATGACCTGTCCATTTAGATATGCAAGAGATATGTATCTTTCACATGTGCCAAAAATAACATCCAAATTCAAATATCATGGTTTGTGAGAGTTCTACTGGAGAAAAATTCAAATGATCACCTGTTACTGGTTTACAGAGAAGTCCAAATAACAGAGTTGTTTTTGGTTAATAATAAAACATATGATTAAATTAATGGTTTTCCAGATGAATAAATGGTGTATTCCAACTCTCTGTTACTTAGTGATATATCACAATAGGAGCTTAGTGCTCTCAGTACAAGAGGATAATTGAGAAGGGATTAATGATTTCCTCTCCCCTCACTTCCTTCTCAGCTGGTGGCAAATGCATTGCTGTTTGTGTGTGTGAACTGCGTTGGGATTTTCCACCTGTGGACGACCGAGCACGATCTCAGGATATCCAATCAGAAAAGAGAAGAGTTCAGCACCATACGATCCCAGAAAGAAATAAGGAAATATCAGCAGGTTAAAACACTGAATTCACACCAATGGATAGTTGGTTATAGTAAATATACAGTGAAATATATCAGTCCAGTGCATCACTTTAGCTGAAATAAACAACAGATGTCTTTTTAACATTTGTATCAGCCTTTTATTTGCTCCACTAGTCTTGTTTTATTGAAGTCTAGTATGCTTATTATAAAAAATACTCTGAGAATGACAAAAAAAAACTTGTTTGACTCAGAATAGTTTAGTAGATTTTTTTTAATTAAAAGGTCTTGAATAAAACACAAATCTTATTTCCACTGTATTGCAAGCCAAGAAATGTACTTGTTAAACTAAAGTAAAAAGTCACTGAATGATTATTTTAAAACCCCATAGTTGGTTAAATTGCTTAGTCATGGATACTTTTGCACTGCAGAAATCCAATCTACTTCTCTCCTGTGCAGCCGTCTTATTTAAATAAGGCAATGCAAGTTTATTTATACTGTATATCACATTTTCACACACAAAGGCAATTCAAAGTGCTTAACACAATGCATACAGATGGATAAAACATTAAAATGCACATATAGGCAAAACATTACAGTGCAAATAAGATAACTAATATTACTTAAAAGCAACAATTACATGACAGTACAAGTAGCAACATGCTTAAGTAAATAGCTAGCCCTTTTGGTATAGCTGTGGCTGACTGTAGATTCTCACTGTTCTCATCTTTAGTCCTCCTAAGACTAACCTCGGCGTAATTTACACTAGAGGTGGGTATACTACCTTCTAAAATTTGAAACACCAGTGACTAAACTGCCAAACAGACCCCAAAGCCTTTGGGATAGCCGTGGCAAACTATGGATTCTTAATTGTTCTCAATATACTTGTACCCCTTTTTCTTACGTTTTCCCAAGACTAACTTCTAATTTACACCTGAGGCGGGCATGCTTTCATCCAGAAGATTTGAAACATCAGTGTCTATACAGCCATCTAAACAGTATAATGAAGTCAAGTGGTGATTAGGTAATGGACGACAAATAACAGAAGTAAAAAAACTGAAGTAGATAAAGTGCAATCTTGGGAGGAAAAACCTACTCTGAATTTAAAATTGTTTTGTGTAATTGCTCTCATTAAAGGGCTCTTTACTTGGACAGCCTTGGCTTTTCCAGCTATTAGGTCAATAGATTAATCATTCACTTGTCTGAAGCCCAGCAGCGACAGAATAGGCAAACCCAAACAGACACTATTCACAGCAAGTAAACAAATGGATGAAACGTGGTTCACTAAGTAAACATAACACTGCTTCAATGGGATGGTTGATCTCCGCTTCTCTTTTACAGCCTTTCTGAACAGATTGTCATCTCTCTAAGACAAAAATCCAGTGGCCCAGCATACAAGGGCTCCAAGTTTATCACCCACATTCTCCGCACATGTTATAACCCCCGTCTGTTTCCTCTGCAACAGGAGCAGCTCCTCCTCTCGGTGTTGCCACGGTACATCGCCATGGAGCTGAAAACGGAGGTGATAAGGAGGCTGTCCAAGCCTAAGAGCAAAGAAAATGAATCCCACTTCAACAATTTTCACAGCTTCTACATACGGCAGCATAAAGACGTCAGGTAGTGACCGCACTGTTACATTGTTAACAAAACTTTCACTGTTCAGAAGATGCTCCCGCTTCTTACTATAACCTCACCTCCGTCATATGTATTTTGTGTGGTCTTTTGAGGGTTATTGTCTAAGCAATATTATGACTCACGCCCATGTGCAACTTATACCTGGTTGGTTTTAATGATGGTAACAAAGTTAAATTTGAGATTTCAGAGTGTAAATATTGAATACCTGAAGTGGTATACATACCGCAGGGCTTATTATTGTATTGTTGTTTTGCAGAGATCTTTTTATTGGATGAGAAGTTACTGTACTGTATGTCTTTCAACATTAATGTCCAGTGTAGCCACTACTAGTGTCCCTATTTAAAATCTCCACCACACTGTTTTTAAATTTGTAAGATAGTCACACTGACATTTGTATGGCATAAAAGTTATCTAGGAAGATCTGGCATTATGTAAATTTGTACGCTTTAGGTCTTTCAACTGTAACTCTGCTGCAGATAATTCAGGTAAATTTGTATTAATATTTGGCATCTATTTTGTAGCACTGAACCTGTTTGTCTCTATCTGTGTGGATCTGTGTAGTATCCTGTATGCAGACATTGTGGGCTTCACAAAGCTGGCAAGTGCCTGCTCACCAGAAGAGCTGGTCGCTATGCTCAACAAGCTTTTTGGCAGGTTTGACGACATTGCTAAGGTGAAAATGCCTGCACGCTCAGCCTACAATAAAACTCTTATTATTTCTTCACAAAGAATTGTTTCTGTTAGTTCTGGACTCTCTGACCCACTCTCCCCCTATCTCCCGTATCTCTGGTTCTTTCCCTCCATAGAAGAATGGCTGTCTTCGCATTAAGATCTTGGGTGACTGCTACTACTGTGTATCTGGTCTTCCTGACTACATTCCCACCCACGCCAGGAATTGTGTTCAGATGGGGCTCGACATGTGTACTGCCATCAGGTTAGTTTTTTCTCCATTTTTTTCTCTGCTGTGTCTTTGTTATTCTTCTGTAATAATTTTTGATTTTTTATTATAGAATAAATCTCATTTGTTGTCGCTTCTTTTGTGCTTTCTATCTTTGTAACATTGTGGTGAGGTGCCTCCCACCTGATGTCTGTTTTTCAAGCCACAGTAATAAAAACGATTAGGTGCTCTTAATTTGCATCTGGTGTTACTGGTGTATAATTTCCTCATGGCTCCCTTACAACAAACATTTCTTTGTAAAAGGAAGTGGAAGCACCACTTTATGTAAACTGACTTTAATAGTCTCGAAGAGCTTTTTTAATGAGGTCTTATTGTTTCAAATGTAGAAATATTTGCATTTAATAGGATTTTCATGCTTTATTTTATAGAAATTAAAAAGGTTTCTTTAAATGTATATGAAATACATTTAGATTAGAGAAAAACATGAATAAATCTGTCTGTGTTTTTATTATGCAGAGATCTGCACAATAATTGTTGTCATCTGTCACTAATAATATGTAATATTTGTGAATGACATTCATGTTGACTTAGTGTTTCACCTTTAATCTTAAATTTGTTTAGAATATTTATGTCCCCTGTCTCAATTACGATGCTTAAAACAGTGTGAGAATGTCTGCAGGATTTATTCTATAATAAAAATTAAAGCATTACAGCAACACGTGTTGAATACAAAACTATTAAGAACCTTTTTATTCTAAAATGAAAAGATTGATTTTTAAATAGTTAACACTCTTTTCTTTGTGTAGTAAACTCCGTGAAGCAACAGGTGTTGAGGTCAACATGCGTGTGGGTGTCCACACTGGGAACGTGCTGTGTGGCGTGATCGGCTTGCAGAAATGGCAGTATGACGTGTGGTCACATGACGTTACGTTAGCCAACCACATGGAGTCTGGAGGTCTTCCTGGGTGAGAAAGTCTTTAAATCTACCCAGAAATGAGAGAAGTCTGAAAAGTTGGTGTAAATTCCTTTTTTTTAATGAAGATGATGATGAAATAAATTCTGAATTCTTTTATGAATTTTATGAAATGATTGTATACCTTTCACAGGAGAGTCCACATCACAGAGGAGACACTGCAGCACTTGGGTGGAGAGTACCAAGTGGAGGATGCGGACGGGGGGAGCCGGGATCCCCTTCTTAAAGGAAGAAAAACCTACCTGGTGATCGACCCCCACAAGCCGGACAGCATCACTAAGAGGCTGAAATTGGTTTGTGTGCAGTATGAGCCATGCAAGTTTTGTAGCCTGTTGTCCAGTTTGTTCAGTGTTCACTTTTGCCTTATTAATGCACTTCTGTATATTTAGTGCACTTAAAGGGCACTTTGTTGATGTGAACATTGTTATAGTGTGTATTTGTGGTGCATTTTTAGTTGCATGTTTACCACACATAATTATTTACTTTAATGCTGACTTTGTGCTTCCAAGAGTGATATTTTATGTAGTAGTACTAGTAGTATTTTAATTTTTTAAATGTTGAACTGACTACAAAGTTGATATCCTTCATTTTGAAAAGCAGAGTGTAAAGAGCCAAGAAGACTTTGGTTTGGTCCCTGAAAACAAGAGTAACACTTGTGTTTGTTATTTGGACATCTGTAGTGCTTGCAAACCCTGTAGACATGCTCCTAATCGAAGCTGTGATGGTAGTCTAACGGAGGCACATGCATGAAAACAAATTACAGTTTCTGAGGGAAAGGTAAAATAAAGTAATCTCCATCTCAATTTCAGCCAAACAATCCTGCACCAGGTGAGCCCATTAAGCGGGCGTCAGTCCGGATGTCTCAGTATCTGCAGTCCTGGAAGAATATCCACCCCTTTGCGGACCTGAGCAACCCTGATGCCACGCCCCCCAAGACCCCACTCATCCCCACCAGTTCTGTCATGAATCAGCCACACCTGAATGTAGTATGTATTTGTGTGCTTCCCTCTTCTTTATGCAGTTTTTTCCTAGTACTATGTTATTTATGAATTTAAAAAGGCCATATAGTGTGAATAGACATATAGCATAGGGTAGGAATACTTACAGAACCTTTATATAAGAAAAATGCTTAAATCACATTGTTTTTCTGTTATATACATTCTCCCTAGACATGATCTTTGTAATAATCCTTCAGCAAATAATACATTGCACTTATGGTCTTCTGTATTGTATACTTGAAAGCTGACATTTGGCCACGCTGTTTGTTGACAGTGTGTGTGTGTGTGTGTGTGTGTGTGTGTGTGTGTGCGTGTGTGTGTGTGTGTATGTTTGCTTCAGGAAAGGTCACGGAGCCAGAACGATCCCAGCTGGTAAGTTCCCAGAAAAATTAAAAGCACCTTGGCCAAAATATACACTGACATTATTAACTTAAGTGTAATAAGAGTAATGTGTGTAGCTGTTTGAATTGATGTGCTAATGAAGTCTGTTATTTAAGATAAGTATGTTTCCATCATAAAGCAAACATGCATTTTAATGAATTTAACTTCTGGAAAAAATATTGCTTTTGCCTTTTTGAGCTGAGCATATATTGGATAAAACTGTGCCTAATGTGCTCTTATTTTGTCCCAGTTTGGTTGTAGATAATGATGTTAGGGGATCACTGGACACAATGGACATTGCAGGGTAAGCTGTCAACAAAATACTATTGTGAATTGTTTGGTTGAGAGCTATAAGAAACATGATGGGAGGAAATGACAAGATGCAACAAAGATAACAATATTACCAAACTGATATGTGTAAAATGTCATGTTTTGATTGAGTCCTTCTGTATTTTATAGCCAGATCTCTGTGCTGTTCGCTTGTGTCTGTGCTTCTTATTTAGAGATTAAACCTATAACTGTTTCTTGTTCACTGTCTGTTCCCCTTTTATTTTCCAGGAGGAGGGAAAAGAAGCTCAACTGTTTGACTCTGCTGTTCAATGACCTGAGCCTGGAGAAACAGGTAGTTTCATTCTCTGAGCACACGCGTGATACAGAGCATGTTTGTTTTCCCTTTGCTTTAGCAAAGTATATACAGAGCCTTTTAACAAAAACCTTTTGCTTTTTAATGTGTAACTACTCAAACTATATGCACTTTAAAAAGGCAGTGGCATTAACCTAATTTATATTTATTTGTGTGTTTGTGTCTGATTTCTAGTTTCGTTTTTCAGAGGTGACAGGTTTGCATAAGTCAATAAGCTGCATAGCTTTTGTCTTTGTGACTGTTTTTACCATCCAGATGCTTGTCTCTAAAAAGTGAGTAGCACTCATGGTCATAGGTGCAACAACACTTAAGTTTTATACTTGTTCATACTCACCAAGTTCTGAAAAAATGTATTATTAGGCCTCCTTTAATAACTGTGTTTTTCCCTGAGCCCAGAACAATACAATAAAATCCTCTAGAATTATAATTTATAATTTTCTGTCATAAGCTTGCCACCAAATTTTACCAACTGACAAACACACATCCTTATTAAAGGAGGAATAAATAGTATAGTGTTCATTATAAATGTTCACCTCTCCCAGGAACTTTGAAATGGCCGTGTCTTATGGTGCAACCTTCCCTGTGATCGTGATTGTTCTGTCCATTGCTTTCACCGGATACTTGGAGGTATGTTTATACTGTTTATACTGACGGTGCATTACCGTGTGTATGCAGGCTGTCAGTAGCACAGAGCACCCTCAGCACCTGTGTATGAAAGGTGTGCATGTTTTTTTTTTTTTTGTTTAGAAGTGGCGTTCCAAGATGCCTTTGAATGTCCAGTGGGTATCGGGGTTGTGCCGTGGCATCTCCACCAGGGCATTGCTGCGAGTCTTTGTTGTCACACTCTGTGTGCTCATCACACTGCTTATGGCCATCCTCAATCTTGTAAGTTCCTTTTTCACGTATTTTGTCATCATCTCCTTTTTTCTGTTTAACGTAATTCATATCTTCTTTTCATCTCTTTGTTTGCTTGTTTCTTTCCATTAGCTTTTACTTTAATCACATTGCTTTCATTTTCAGTTCTTCCAGCCAGGAAAGGACTGCACTTCTATTACCAACAAGGCAGAGCTGGAAGATCTCAAACTCTACACTTTGCCTGTGAGTGGCTCCAACAGAACATGATTTTTACCCATGATTCTTCTTTATTGTTTGTGTTATAATGCCTATAAAAAGTATAATGATGCTGTTTTTAATTAACCTTTTCTTTAGTTTTAGCATTGTTTTCACTGCTTACAGGTAACCCTAAATTTTGCTAGTAAATCAGGCAGCACTTGTTTTTTACTGAACTCATTGCCATCCTTTTCCAGTACAGCAGTGATTCTTCATACTGCTGCATAAAATTATTAAAACAACCTGGAATAAAATGTTATAATTGTGAACATTTTACTTGTCCAGATATCATGTTTCTCACACACAAGAGCAAATAAACAGATATATACAGTAGACACCTAAACACAGGTGACACTAAAAGTAATAAACCAAGGAAAAAATATGTAATTAGTTCAATATACTCTTGTACAAAAGCTACATTTTCTTTATCAGAGATAGGTAGAGGTATAGTTAGATGGGTAACTTGGTTTCCAGGTAGTACATGAAGCATTGATTAAGAGTTGGTGCTTTATGAGACGAACCTTCATTTGTCCTTCATTAGAATAAATTAAGAATAAATGTGTTTTACTTTTCTCTACCTTCAGGAAGGTTGTTCATAACCACAAGAAATTTGTTCTTAAACATGAAAAGCTTTAAGTGTTTGATTTGACACCTAAGCTGTCATGACCAACATTTTTCACCTTCCACCTACCTCTCTCTTTAAACATCCAGTACTACCTGTACTGCTGCCTACTGGCCATGGTGGGAGTGATTGTGTTTGTCAGGACGTGCATGTCTGTGAAGACGCTGCTGCTCACCTTGGCTGTGGTGGTTTACCTGGCCCTCTTCCTCCATGTTTATGCTCCAAGGTCCTACTGCCTCTGTCGCCTGCTTTACAATGACACAAAGTATGTGACACTACACACATTATGAAATTTAAACACCCTGTAACATTATGTTCCTCCACATTATTTTGAAAATTGAAAAAAATGGTTCTAGCTTCTCAAATTTGAGAATTTTAGTTTTGCACTGTCTTTCAAACATAGCAAACAATTTTAAAACATCAAACATCTTCTACAGACTAAACAGTGGATCCATGAATTGGAAAAATATCCAAAAGATTAATTGATAGTGATTATCATTTGTTAGTTTGAGGTTTTTATGTTGAGAAAGCTGGATTTAGGGGCATTCGATGCTAACCTGCTGTACAATCTATTGCAAATAGGCTTAAAGCATATACAAATTGTATGAATGTGTGATCTATAGTCACGACATGGAACTGTACACTCCCAGTAATCCTGTTAAAGTTCAGTTTTCACTCATCCACATTCATCCACCACTCTCCGTGGTTATCAGGCAGGTGTTAAATTTCCTGCCTTTTGTCTGCCTCTCCACAGTCCAGATTGTGAATCCTTGTCTGGAGTTTCAGATCACCATCATTTATTAAAGAGCTTTCTATAGACAGAGGCCTGCCCCATTGACTGTGAGATACAAGACACTTTTGTTTGAGGAATTATGTAATGGAATGGGGAGGGGGGGGGTCATCTTTTTAGTATATGGCTCTAAAGATGTACGTTTGTTTTTCTACAGCCCTGGTGTACTGAAGGACCCTCATATCATGTCTGGGATTTGGCTCGTCATCTTTTATATAGTATGCCTCATACTGGCTAGACAGGTGTGTGTATTCTTGTGTGCAAGTACACATTTTTTTATATTTCATTCCAAATTTGTTCATATGTTTCATAAAAAAATTTCTCTCTTCAGGATGAGCTTAGTTGTCGTGTAGATTTCCTATTGGAGCGATGTTTCCAGATGGAAAGAGAGGAGATGGAAACTATGGAGAACATCAACAAACTCCTCCTCCATAATGTCCTGCCGCTCCATGTCGCCTCCTTCTTCGTGGGCAAAACTATTCGTAACCAGGTACACAAAGCAGAGAGATGTACTGTAGGCAGTCATTACCTATCCACAATTTATTGTTTCTGTCAATGTTAGGCCCAAGTTAGCTAGCTATGCCACCTTTCACATATTATTTCCTATAGAGAATGTGAAGTTGATGTCACACCATGTTGAGTTTTGGATAAATGTTCTATGTATGGAGCATGACTCTCATTATGCATCATATATATATATATATATACACACACACATCTGTAAGTTAATTTTTAAAAATTAATACTATGCCATAGAGCTACATGTAGCGGATGTTTCAACTACAACCATATGTCCATTTTAGTGTTCAGTTTGAGTACAGGCAGGACAGAATTTGATTCATCAGCACTGTTTGTGTTATCTGTCAACAGCTTCTGGTTGGTGTTAGCTCCCGCACCGAGAACTCACATCAGTGTACAGTCATTTTTTCAGTCTGTCATTCTCGTAAATACAGCACACGCTTCCAAAAATGACACCCCCATCCAAACATTCAACACGGCGTGACGTACCTTCATGTTCTCTATTGTCAATAAAATGTTAAATTTGTAAGACCAAATACATTTTAGATCACTAGAAACCTTTTGTTGGAACTGAGTCCTTTAACTTTGATTAAAATTGCATTTCAGGACTTGTACAGCCAGTCATATGACTGTGTGTGTGTGATGTTCGCCTCAGTACCTCAGTTCAAAGAGTTTTACAGTGAGAGCAACGAGAACAGGGATGGGCTGGAGTGTCTGCGCTTCCTCAATGAGATCATAGCAGACTTTGATGAGGTACAGTATGAGGAAGAAGATCCTATTGTCACACTTTTACACTGTCAGTGTCAAGCATCCCCAGCCTGAACTTTTTGTCTATGACTATACTCTTCCTCTTTCTGTCTCACTTTCATCCCCATCCTCTGACAAACAGCTTCTTTCCAAGCCCAAATTCTCTTCAGTGGAGAAGATTAAGACCATTGGCAGCACATACATGGCAGCTGCAGGACTGACACACTCACCTCCAGGGGATGAAAGAAAGGTTTGCTTCCTTTATTTTTGTTTGAACACTTCATATACAAAGGTTTCTACACATTTTTTCCAAAGTGGTTAAAGAAACCAGAGACTCATATCTATATGTTCTGTAAAAGATGTTTAAAAATGAAATGCTTGACAAATTACCCTGTTAAATATACCCTGCACCCCATTAACTTGATCTCTGGCTCCCCCTATAGCAATGTGATCTGTCCTACAGCAACGTGCGTGCCATGGTGGAGTTTGCCATTGCTTTGATGAGCAAACTGGAGCTTATCAACACACACTCTTTTAACAGCTTCAAACTAAGGATCGGTGAGTCTGAGAAAATATCAATGCATAGATCAAAAGGACTAACCCTTGTTTCTTTTTTTACATCCAGATTACTTTGACAAATGACTACTTATTATATGAAGATTTGTTTTTAATATTTGCTCATCTTTCTTGTGATTTTCTTGTTGTTACACTTGATTAATGGTTGCACACTGTATGAGTTCATCAAATGTTGCATCATTTCTGATTTTGTTTAATATGTAATTTTTAAAACTAAGATAAAATATACAACAACAGCAACAACAACAATAATAATAATAATAAACTATTATAGAAAGCACACTCATATTTTCTAGGGTACATGCAGGACTTCCACTCTAGTTCCAAGGCAAGAGTTTCAGTAAGAAGTCAGTTAATTTCCCATGATCTATTTTACTTTATTATTTACCTACAGGAATAAACCATGGTCCAGTTATTGCTGGGGTGATTGGAGCTCATAAACCTCAGTATGATATCTGGGGGAACTCTGTGAATGTAGCCAGCAGGATGGACAGCACAGGAGTGCTGGACAAGATACAGGTCAGTGGAAGCGAGCTAGAAGAGGTGTAGAAGTATCCTGAAATACTGAAATATATTTCTGCATTCTGTTTCAGTAAGAAGCACTTTAAATGAAGGATGTCATTCATTTACTTTTTTCATCCTGCACTGTAAATGTTTGAATGATGTATTCAATATGGACAAGAACAAGTCAACAAGTTGCGTTTTATTATTTAAAATAGATTACATTTTTGAATCAGATCCGATTTATACATAAATGTAGGTAATTTCCAAGGGTTCTTTTATTTTTATTTTTCTTGCCACTGTATGTAAGCCAGGCATTACAATTTTGCACCTATTGTTTCTCATTATCAGTGTCTCTATTTCTCTCGGCTCTCAGGTGACAGAGGAGATGGCCCAGGTGGTCCAGAGCATAGGATACAGCGTCACTCTCAGAGGAGTAGTCAATGTTAAGGGCAAAGGCGAACTCACCACCTATTTTGTCAACACAGACCAATCATCTCCTCAGTTCTGACCTTCGTAGTCAAATACTACTGAACAGACTCACTTAAACCTGGGTCCAAACTTTAGCTGAACTTACTATTGTTTGTTTGAATGAACCTGGTCTACGTTACGGAAACGGAAATGAAGACGTAGCAGCACACATCTACCACAGAGCTGCCATTGTCTTCTAGATGTGACACTAAATCATATTTTGAACGGTTAAATGAAGACATGACTTTTAATTGAAAGCAGAGAGCTTTCTAAGCATGGGCCAGTGTCCAGCCATGATGCTTACTATATCTGTACTGTATTTGGAGTGTCCCTATTGCACACTTTACACTGTATTATTCTGAAAACATAAACTGAATGGTGCCTTTTTGGTACACCCAACATGGCTGAATCACATGCATTGTCTAGTTAAAAAGACAACATTGATGTATATGGCTGCTTTATTAGAAAAATAAGGTATCCATCTTAGATGTACCAAAGATTAATGTTGTTTTATGAAGGATGTCATAGCTTATGCCTCACATAAGCCAAAATACTGTGCTGTTTACTAGATTTCTTATTTATTTACAACATTTTCACTCCATTATGTTTCCAATAAGTTACAAAAAGTTCACATTTTCATTCAAATTTTATTCAGCTTTAAATATTCTATTTCTGAGTATCTTAAAGAATATTATGTGTCTTTAAATGTAGGGAGAAACGGGGCAGACATTTTGTGTACTTGAAATCATTTTGTAATACCGATTGGTCTTTTCAACTGGTTCCCAAACATCCAAGACAAATCAGAGGGAGTCACAAGATAACTGACAACAGGGGAGAGAAGAAAATATTCTTAATTTGTACTAACAGAGTGTACTTATTTTCCTGAGTTGTCTTTAAGATGTATTTTTATTGTGTAATCCTGCATAGTTTTAACTATTCAGCAAGGCAAAACGATCCCAACAACACAAGACGGAGAGCTCACTCTGCTGACATTTCTCACATCATAAACATAAGCAAGTATGCATTAATTTCTTTAAGGAGTCCCAAGCCAGAGATTTACTGAATTTAAATTATAATTTCTTAATTTACTGCCCGCAACTAACATTAATAAGTTCTAACACATCTGCACACAGGCATAATGCTGTGTTACGTCTTGAAAAATCATTTGATTACAGTGCAATGTTGAATAGACACAATAGTTCCACTTTCTTTTTAAGTATATATTAGTGTGTTGGGTGTGAGGTGTAGATGTAAAAACTGATCAGTCTATGAAAACATATTGCTATTTTATTTATAAATTAATTTAAAAAATACAACCACAGATATGTTTATGAGTGTACCCTATATTCATAGGGGACTGGCCGTGGAATCTCCCCTCTCCCGGTAACGTCCACAGGCTCTCTGATTGGTTCGAACTAAGTTCGCTGATCTTTTCTCTCTTGCTATTGGCTCACGTTGGAGTCAGTCAACCTGTTTCCTGCTTCACGGTGTGGTTATTAACACTGAGCTCCTTTAAATGTTGACGGTCGGACTCGATGAAGTTGGTGAGTGTTTGATAAATATCTGCAATTAATAGCAAAGTTAACCAAATGGTTTGTTAGTCAAGAGTATAGCATAAATATAGCTTGTATTGCTTTAACAGTTTTCAAATAGCGTTATGGATTTCAGTTTGACCATGAATGACGACAGCGTAAATGTTAACATAACTTTGGTTACCTGGTTTAAGTTAACCGTCATTTGAGGTCAGCAGACATACTTCTTTCATCGTTACGTTTTTTTGTAAGTATCTGTATTTCTTAAAATAATAGGACAATGAAGGGTTTAATTCATCTGTGAACAGCTACATATTAAGACATTTAAAAGATGTCAGGGGCTCCCGAGCAGATCAGGAAGCGCCGTCCCCCCAAAATGTTCTTGATCTCGACCGACATGAAGATCCAGGACCAGCTGGAGGGTACCATTCGGCTGCACCGGGGGTACATCTGCCAGGAGCAGGATATGGGCAAGAACAGAGGGGACAGCCCATGGGTGAAGGTATTAGCATATATTTGCGTCACAAAGTAAATGGACCATATTGAGTACAGGGCTGTCTAAGTACAGTACACACCTGGTTAGAGAGTTTGGGGCTTTTTATTAATGGATGCATAGAGTTGACTAAATATGCATTACAAAGTTGTCAACCCAACTTTAAATGAAAGTACCAGTTTGATGGTATGAGATTAAGTATTTTCTCCTGGTTTCCCCACAGGTGTTAGACAATGGCGTCATGATAAGAATAGAGACGAAGTTCCTACTTGAAGTCCCGAGTGCCCTCAGTGGCCTGTTAGAGCCTGTATCTGATCCAGAAACCCGCCTAATACTTCTAGGTAATACACTAATGTTACAAGTGGGAAGAGTAATGACTATTATCAAAGTACCAGTGAGGTAAAAGCTGTTGTAACAGTAAAGCACTTATGTCCTTAGATTGTGCAATTAACATGTCTGTGTTAGTCAAAGTAAAAATTGTGATTGTTACTGCATTGGTAATTGTAGAAGTATTGGTAAAGGTGAGTGTAGTGGAAATTATAACAGGAAAAGAAAGGAGACTATTGGTAATAGAAATATATTAATATGAATGATGACTGTAATAGTGGTGGTGAAATGATAATTTTAGTGGTAGCAGTACCAATTGAAATAGGAGGAGGACCAATAATGATAAAGTGCATGTGGTAGTATTACACAGGAGGTATAAATATTGCAGTTGTAACTTTTTTGTAGTGTTTATTTTAGGTGAAGCACCGTAGGCAGCAGAATGTCATTGAGGAGGGTAGTATATGTGTGAGAGACACCATGTCCTGTTCAATTTTTACTTGATTTATTATCTTAGATAATGCACTTCTCACAACATAAGCACACTGTAATGGCTGTTTATCACAGTAATACTGAAGCACACACCTTCAATTAAACCTTTCTTTATTAAGCTCTTGCATCAAATGTTATTAATTATTTTTGTATTTTTCAGACAATCCTGGGAAGCTGCAGCAGTTTGCTGCTTTGCCTATTGGTGCCCTGCTGTGGGTCCAAATAGGCCAACAGGATGAGCTGGCAGAGGCAGAACTTAAATACATCGGGACACTGAGCAGAGGGAGCACCGCTGTTTATTTTGGAATAGAACTCAAGGTAATGTCTGTAAGGATATAAATGAAAAGCACCCCACCAAGTATGGAGTGACTTTACCTCATCAGACTAATTAAACTAAACTGAACTATTCAAGTTTTTAAAGTGGCAATATGGATCAAATAAACTGTGTGAGGAGCTGCTTGTAGTGATGAACCTACAGAAAAGCATAATCCGAATGTGTAGCTTCCCTTAGCTCTACAAAGTTTTACAGCAACTTTTAGCTTATTGCTTTGGTTTTCCACCTGACAGCTGTACGGTTTTGGTTCACTCACACCGCAAGTGTTGTTTTCAGCTGCAGCAGGTCTAAAACCCTCTCTACACTACCTGCTCAGCAGAAAGACACAGTTAGCAACTAGCTGGTGAACACAATAAAGACTTTAGCAGCTGCATTTCCTTCAGAAGGCAGTGGAGACCAAAAACGGAGGTAAAAGGAGACGAACTATGGGATGTACATTGACCTTGAACCCAGAAACACCAAATTAATGCTTCTCTGAACTGGCTCAATCAATTCACCCTGAATTTAAAAATGTGTTAAAATAACAAGAAATTGACTAAGTACACAAAACGATTCTTATATACAGAGAAAAAGCAGTTTCATGTCATTTGCACAAGGCTTGAAGTGAAAACATGCTAAGCTGTAATACTGTCTGAAACACAGATTGCATAGTCACGTCATGCTCAAAAAGACACCTATAATTTGCAACTTCTTCTCTCTTTGTATCTCTGTCTTTCCACC